CCGCCCTGACGCTGCTGTCCGCTGCGCGCGCTCAGCGGGTCCACAGGGGCTGGGAGTGTGCAGCCCTGGCCCGGGGGAGACCCCATCCCAGACCCGAGCCCTCGTTCGGGAGGTTTGGGCGATGCAAGGACCCCGAAAATCTAGCTAGCTCCTGTTCTTGGTTCCACGGGTGCCACGGCTCGGAGGCCTGCAGGACGCGAAAGGGGCCACGTCCCGGTCCACCAGTCTCCCGACCCATCAGATAATCCGCACAATACATTTTAACTCGAAGAAATTAAATTATTGAGCATAAAAACTAATGGGAATTGTCCTCCCGAGATCATTACTACCAACACTATTAACATTTTTTCCCCTTATGGACACCTCCCTTCCCATTTATAAACAGACATACCTGCGCGTGTATTTTTCCATTTGGGCTACCATGTCTTCCTTTAATTTTTGTCTGAGATTCATGATCATCAAATATCCTTTGAAGATATTTCCTCAAGGAACTAGGTTTTTTTATTGTCATATTTTATATATAAAATATTTGTTTTTTCTATATAAATCACCATTAACTACAGGAAATTAGAATGACAGGTCATATGTCTGAAGTATAATTTATGTTGAAAAAGTGTACCAAGACATTTTGATAATGTATCAATCCATTCCATATACCTTTCATTAAAACTACTTCTGATATTTTCATTCAATTCTACACATTTTAGCACGTAGTTCTCTTCACTTTTATGTTTTTTAAGAACTAGGTATTTTTAATATAACCCTTATGTTGGAAATTTAGGCTGTGGCCAGTTGGACGTGATTTTTTTTTTTATATATAGCATATTATTGTTTTGTTAAGAATTTCTAGATGTAAAAATGGCCCAGTGGACATTTTGAAGAATCACTTCAGGAACATTCTAAAGATTTTTTTTTTTTTGATACATGTTTTCAAATAATTGCTCTCCAAACACGTTCTGGTAGTATCTTTTTTTCTCATAAATTGTATCGCTTCCTGAAACCTATTTAAATGTTAAGGTTTGTTGTTGTTGGCCACGTCCACTTGGAGCTTTTGGTGGGGACAGTCCACACTGCCCACGTGGACCGCCTCTTTGGAGAGGATTCTCCCTTCCCAGCTAGTGTCTGGGCTCAGTGGTTTGTCTGTGCCAGCACAGGCCAGTCTACTGTCCTGGAGAGCTTGGGTCACTGCAGGGGCGGGGCCTTAGGTTGGACATGGCGTCCGACCAGGGTCCCCGGACCCTCCCTGGCCAGGGCGTTTCTGAGCACTCTCCCATTTTTCCCCACACTTGTTTTATGAGCACTGCATTCTGGCATTCAACCCAGAGAATGCAATCCCCACTTTTATCCAGCAGCCTTGGAGGGAAAATCCGCTCCTGACCCCTCTCCACGGACTGCCCAAGGGTTTGGCTTGTGCGGCCTACTCTCCCGTGGGCGCTTGGTGGTTTACCTTGGGCCTCTCACTCATCCAGGAACATTTCCCTGTTCTCGCAGTCTGTCATCACACCTGCAAAGCCTCCTTCCTCTTCGCTGGTCTCAGGGATTCGTAGGATGCAAGACAGCGACGTGCGAGGCCCGGCTTTGGCTAGTGAAAGCATGTGTGGAGTGAACCAGGACGGAGAGCTCTTTCTATGTCACTTGATCTCCAAAATACATAAAAATATACCTTCGCCAAGAGAAGAGCTCACTGCAAACACACACACAAAAGGCCCATGAAACCCCATCATTAAGTTGGCGAGCACTTTAATGGTCTACAAATTGGTGTCATTTTATTGTCATAATATTTTGGGTAATTTTGCAGAAGAGTAAAATTTTGAATGATTTTATACTAACCAAAGAGGCAGAGGAAACGAATTCCCTGGCATGGTGAAACTTTCATTCATTTCATGGCGACCTCCTACATTTGAAAGGGAGTTTATATTCTTCACTCCCTTTCTTTCCTTTTCCTGCTCAAGTTACTTCCTGTGCTACCTGGGAAGTGAAGACTATTTCTTGGCACACACAAAGAGTTCAGAAGAGAAAGCGGGTCCTGGCAGACAGAGGTTTGAGACCGGGAAATCAGGCCCACCCGCTGTGCAGCATGCCAGTGTCCCCACAAGGCTCCTTTCAGCGGGGCGAAGCCCAGTCTTTCCCGGGCTGGGAAGGGCTGTCCGTTCTCGAGGATGCTGCGAGGTGAGCAGAATGCCCTGGTTATGCCGCCAGCTGCCCAGGATGCCATGGTGGCGAGCAGGCGACTCGGGTTGACTGGAGCTCCGAGCACGGAGAACGCATTAGACTCCTGTGCAGGCCTCACTTGCAGGTGTCGAGCTGGCTGGCCCTGGTGAGGGATCAACTCGTTGCCCTTTCCCACACAGACAGAAGCGGGAAAGCGGGGAGTGGGGAGGCTGGCTTTGGGAGCTTGGATCAGACCACCACCCCTGTTTTTCTGAAACCTAAGAGGTGCCCGGGATACTCAGGAAGAGCCACTTGCTCTAACTTCTTACCAAAAATGTCTACATCTTGTAGTCCCAGGTCTTTGCATTTTCCTATTAAGATGCAATCCTGTGACGATCCTACTTAGCTAAGAATTTCTAGAACAGGTGATCTCACGGCGCCTGTGCAGAGGACGCTCCTGAGACCGAAGAGAGAATTTCAGATTCCTGCCGCGTGTCCTCTTCTGGGAAACTGAGGTGGAGAAGGCAGTGTCTTCTAGGTGCTTCTAGAAGACAGCTAGAATGTGCAGAATCTTCTTCAAAGCTCTTAGTTAAATAACGCAAGATGCCATTTTCAAAGGCATTTTGGCCTTGATAAACCAAAAAATCAAGAGATTTTTTAGACTGATTACCCAATTTGCACACCAGTGCCTGCTATTTCTCACAGTGGGTGCCAACACAGTTTTTCTTCATGTCGCTTGTCTCAAAAATGGAGTCAAGGAGGGGTCAGCAGGGTCAGCATTCCAGGCTGCCAAAGGCAGGTGGGCAGACACGGGTAGCCTCCATCTTTCTCCCTTTCCCCAGCCTTGCCATAGCTGAGCTGGATGACGCAGCAGGAAGTCAGGGGATGGGGCCCAGGCTCAGGATTCAGCTCCCCAGCCCTGGGCGTCCTTTGGGGTTTCAGGAGGCTTGGCCCTGTGAAAAGGAAGTGAGGAAGACACACGGCCCGCCCGAGCTGACACCCGGCCAGAGGACTCAGACACACTGTGTTCCTTCAGGATGGAAGCGCCAGTCCGCGGTGCATGCACGCAGTGTGTCACTTGCAGGTGACAGCTTGCCAGTGAAGTCAAGATACGGCCTGTGAGCACAGCCTGACCTGGTACAGTGCTGGCTCTCACAGGCACGGCGGGGCTCAGCTCCCGGGCTTCTCCGATGGGGTTGTAAGGCAATCCAGGAAAGCCAGCAGCTGGCGATGCAGACACAGCTACGGCCCTCCAGCTACCGGGCCAGGCAGTCCTCCCCACAGGCTGCAGGGCCCCAAAGTCCTTGTCCTATGGAAAATACCCCGGCTCCGGGGTGTAAATTGCAGCTAGGCTTTCCAGCGCAGAGGAGGTAGTCCTGAAGTCCAGCCCTTGTCTCCCCAGGGTGCCAGCATGCTGAAATGCATAAGACAATGGCCATAGAGGTCCACTGGACCTACTCCAGCTACGATCCTGTCGGGGCCGGCAGCACTGGACAATCCGAGTCCTGTGGGAAGGTCGCATTTCTCCTTGATAAAGTGTGATTTGGTGAAGCTGCACCTGTGAGGTATTTCCTGTGCACGGAAGACTGAAAGTGGAAGGAAACATGTGGAAATGGAACGGACGAAAAGCAGTGTACCTTGTACTGGTTTCTTCCAACATAATGCCTGTGGCCAAGAACCTGGAATGCAGCAAGTTCTCCCAAAGTGCGTCCTTCCGTGCTGGATCACGCGTGTGTCACGCACAGAGCCTCCCCTTGCCTATTGGGAACTGTTTCCCAGTTTCTATGAGGACAGAAATACTCAGAAGCCAAAGCAGGTGCAAGGGATGTCCCCACCTGGGGTCCTGACGCTCGCCTTGCAGAAGCAGCAGCAGCTCCGAAGTCACGGACTGTCAGCGCACCCAGGACAAACGGTGCTAGCAGCTGGGCAGCAGGTCCAGGTGCCTGCACCGTGGTCTGCCCCCAAAGCACATGGACTCAGCGGAGTACTCGCCATGGCAACAGGGAGGTCTCAGCTGCCTCCAGCGGGACAAAGATGGTGGGGAGGGGATGCAGAGGGCTGTGGGTAGGCAAAAATGGGGCCTCACCTCACGTATTTTAAACCCGGGTCTGGGCTTACTCAGCAGAGTCTGCCTGGGACAAAAGCACAGGCTGGAGCCTCCTCCTTTGTGACCTAACACAGTTAAAATTTGCAGGCATTCTACGGGGGTGGGCAAGGGTGTTAAGGCACAGACACGCCCGTGTGTGTGTGTGTGTGTGTGTGTGTGTGTGTGTAAGTGTGGCAGGCAGTGTCTGGGCAGAGTTTCCTTAAGGAGGGTAGCGTGGAGGGTCTTGGCCTCTGAGCTGTTACTGCAAAGGATGCTGGGAAATGCCCTCTATGCAAAGCTCTCCCTGAGGGCATCACCAGAGGGCCAGGAGGGTCTGCTCAGTGGCATAGATGCAGTGCCATGTTGGACACCTTATGCATGGCCGAGCCTCTTCCTGAGTGAGCTGATGAAGTCGCAGCAATGAACCAGGGACAGCACCCAGCTCACTGCCTGAAGGAAAGGTGCCCACGCACGCACACACATCACACACAGGCACACACACACATCACACACATCACACACGCACACCATCACACACATCACGCACACACAACACACATCACACACACACAACACACATCACACACACACAACACACATCACACACACGCACACACACACACATCACACACATCACGCACGCACGCACACACATCACACATGCACACCATCACACACATCACGCACACACAACACACACATCACACACACAACACACACACATCACACACACAACACACACACATCACACACACGCACACACATCACACACACGCACACACACACACATGCACGACTTGCCGGCCTAGCCCCCTTCCTCTTCTACCCAAATTGTCCACCAGGAGCACTGGAAGTCACAGGCAGGTGCCTTCCCACACAGCTCTGGCCAGCACCCCCTCCCCGCTGCCCGCCATGGGGTGTGCAAGGGGCTCTGGCTAGAAGTGGTGTTGGTGGAGGGCCGCGGGCGAGGGGCCCGGCTCCAGCCGCTTGATGTGGCAGGAGTGACAGAACAGGTGGTCCTGCAGCGGGTAGCAGCGGTGGCCATCTTCATCATTTAGCTCCACTCCGCAGTCCTGTGGGAGAGGTGGGAATGAAAGCAAAACCAAGACGCTACGACTAGCATGGCACAGTCCCCGAATTCAGCAGAGGGTGCCACGTGTGCCCATCCCAGCACAAACACACAGCTCCTGTCCAGAGAGGGCCCGCCAGCCGTGGGGGCCGCCAGCCGTGTGTCACCAGCAAGCTGGCATAGCTCAGGAGTCATTTTCTCTAGATGATCTGCTGAAATGTGACCTTATTCCTCTCAACTCTAAAAGGCAACTGCCAGAAAGCTCCTAGGGCTTTGGGTTTGGGCTTCCCTTATTTCTCCTGGGAGCTGCTGTTCTGTGTGCACGGAGAGGACTGCTCAGCAAACGGCTTCACCTTTTGCTCCAGGCCCCTGCGGAGGCACCGGCCATGATCCCACGGAGGCAGTGGGAGCCGTGAGTCTCATCTCTAGCCAGGGGTGAAGCCATGTGAGTGAAGGAAGACCCTCTTGCCCCAGCACCCCCACCTGCCTCCCCTGCCTCCCCCACAGCAGCTCTGGGTGGCAGACACCTGCCCCGCTGTGCTCCTGGGCTCCACAGGGGCAGGGCGGGCCTACCTCGCAGTGGTAGCACTCCACATGGTAATCTCTGTCCATGGACACAACACGGATGGTCTCATCTGAGCCCTGGCACCAAAGAGAAACCAGGATGGGTGTAAGAGCCCAGCGAGGGAGGCTGCTGGGCAGCCCTGCTGAGGGGAGGGAAGAAGGTTCTAGAGTATTGAGAGGGATAGGAAACAGGAGGGGGACGAACAGCAGGCCTATGTCTGGAAGGACTTGAGTCTATGTTGAAAAAAAAACGAAAACGATCTCCAGGCAAGAGCCATGAGGTCAGCACTGTGGCCTAGAGGGTTAAGCCACAGCCTGCATGTGGGCGCTGTCCTGGCAGCTCCACTTCCGGTCCAAGTTCCTTGCTAAAGTGCCTGAGGAAGCACAGCAGACGCTCCAAGGGCTTGAGCCCCTGTGCCTAGTGAGAGGTCCAGCCCTGGCTGTTGCAGCCATTTGGGAAGGAAAGAAGTGATGGAAGATCTCTCTGAATGTGTGTGTGTGTGTGTGTGTGTGTGTGTGTGTGTGTGTGTGTGTGTGCACGCATGTGTATCTGTGTATGTGTCTGTAATTCCACCTTTCAAATGAATTCATCTTTTTTCGAATAGAAGACAAACTCCTGTGTGAAGATGAATAGCACAGTGTGGCCTGGCTCCAGGCATGCGCACATTGAAGGCGGCACTGGGCTGGGGCGGCCGGCCAGGGGAAAGGGGCACTCCCGCCCCATCTCCAAGCTGGGCCTGAGAACGGGTATTTTCCCAGGATGGAACTCGGCTCTCAGTAAGGATCCCAGGGGGCACCTCAGCGCTTCCAAGGTGCCGGAAGCACATTTGAGGGGGCGTCTTACCTCGGGAGGGAGGATGGGGAGTCCACAGGCTGCACACTTGGGGGCCAGCACCCTGGGGAAGGGACAAAGAGTCAACGGCCACGGATTCTAGGAGGCAAAGCCAGAGCAAAGGGGGCACCAGGGGACCTACACGTGGCCTTCCTCGCTGGACCACCCCAGGCCCCTGCCACATCCCTCAGCGCCCCTGACTTTGCAGGACGGGGAACTGACGGTGCCAGCAGCCAGCAGTCACGCTGCCCGGCGTCCACAGGTCACTCTGCCGAGGTGGGTATGGCCTGGGTGCAGCTCCTGGCCGCTCGCCCGCCTCCTTACTTGTGGTAATCGCGGACACAGTAGATCTTGTTCTCGGAGTCCACCGTGAAGGGCACCCCGTCCAGACACTCATTGCAGACGACACAGCGGAAACAGCCCGGGTGGTAGGACTTCCCCAAGGCCTGCAGGATCTGGGGTGCAGCAGAGGAGAAGCCGACACTCAGCAGGGGGAGGAGGGATGAGGGGACACGTGAACAGTCGCACTGCGTGGAACACCCCCACCCGAGCTGCACCCGGACCACGAGCCACGGACAAGCAGGTGGGAGAGGAGTAAGTGAAACAAGAGTCCTTCTCCTAGCCAATCACGGTGCTCCTTTTAGAGCAGGTGTCCGGCAGGGACACCCACATCCCCTACCAAAGGACCTGGGCTCGAGTCCCCGCTCCGCTTCCCATCCAGCTTCCTGCTCACACACACCCTGGGAGGCAGCAGGGACTGACAGCTTCAGGTCTCGGGGTCCCCATCACCCACCTAAGGGAGCCAGATGGATTTCCAGGCTCCTAGCTTTAGTCTGGCAGCCCTGCCTGTTGTGGGCACTGGGAGAGTGAACCAGCAAAGGAAGGTCTCTCTCCTCCCCGTTATCAAACACACACACGCCAGTGACAGCCACTTTATGACGAGGGGGCAGGCATGTGGGGTCAGCTGGAGAACCAACAGTGCCGTGTAAAGGAATCATGCTGGGCTGGTTAGGCTTCTTGGCGGCAGTTGAAGGTTCTGTCTCGAAAGCTGGAGTCGCCACCAGGCAGTCGCTAGAACTTTCTAAGTCCAAGAGAAGAACTGCAAGACGGCGGGGTCAGCCTGGCATTCATCCCACATGGGGCTGACGTCCTCCCAAACTCAGCTCTGCCTTTCCCGCTACACAGATGCGCCCGCATGGCAAGACGTGGAGAAGATCGAAGACCTCCTGTCTTCTATTCAAACCAGGATGGTCCTGGGGCTTTTTAAGATTTCCTGACGTTCTTGAAAGAGAACATGAGAGGGCGACAGAGAGAAGCCGAGAGCCTGGGACTCCAACCAGATCTCCCACACAAGTGGCTTTCCCAGGACCGTTAACAAAGAGCAGGATCGGAGGCAGAAAAGCCAAGACGGAGCTGGCATTCTGATAGGGGTTGCCAACGTTGCAAATGGTGGCTTAACCCACTGTGCCTCAACGCCAGCCTCTAGCCGAACCGTTCTTGGTCAATGACGAAGCAACGATGTTCTTGAGATTTCCATGTCAAAGACATCAAGACAAGACATCGAGAGGAAGCGGCTCCTGCTTCCTCTCTCTCGCTGACCCCTGCATGATTAGAGGTCCTGGGGACAGAGGCCTGGAATATTCTCGTTAGAAGCCAGGTCATCTGCGTCAGCAGCTGAACTAAGCTGAGTGAGAGAGGCAGCCCAAGGCCACCGAGAGAAGTCATCCTGCTGAGCCCTGACCCAATTCCCAACCCACAGAATCAGGATGAGCAACCCATCGTGGCTGTGCTGGGACACTAAGCTCGGGGGCGGCAGAGGACGCAGCAACAGTTAAAAGGCACGCTCTACCGACCAAAGGCATCTTCGGCCAAGCAGAACCAAGGACAGGCTGTGATCACACACTTTGCAGCGCTGACCTCATACGCGGGGGGTTCGTCAGATGGACACTTAAAATCCAGGACAAACTCTGCTGACGTGGCGCCCTGCAGAGCCTGCGACATGGGAAAGGGGGCCACCGACACACTGCTGGTGGCAACGGAAACTAGTGCAGCCACTGCAGAAAAGTCTGGAGACTTCTTTAAAAAAAAAATGAGAAATAGACCTGCCATATGATTTAGTAACGTCACTACTGAGTATACACGCAAAAGACAGGACTCACTGGGCCTGGTGCAGTAGCCTAGCGGCTGAAGTCCTCACCTTGAACACACCGGGATCCCATATGGGTGCCAATTTGTGTCCCGGCTGTTCCAATTCCCATCCAGCTCCCTGCCTGTGGCCTGGGAAAGCAGTTGAGGACGGCCCAAAGCCTTGGGACCCTGCACCGGCGTGGGAGACCCGGCAGAAACTCCTGGCTTTGGATCAGCTCAGCTCTAGCCATTACGGCCATTTAGGGAGTGAACTCATTTATGCAAAATCTTTTTTTCTGTACCTCCTTCTCTGTGTAAACCTGACTTTCCAAATAAATAAATAAATCTTTTTAAAAAAAAAAAAAATCAGTATCACCGTGTTTGCAGCAGCACCGCTCCCCGGAGTCAGGCCAAGGGACCGACCTGCACGCCCATCACCCAAGGAGTCAACGGGGAGCGCGTGGGGCAAAGACAGCGCAGCATCTCGGCTCCAAAGGAGGACGAGGCCCCGGCATTCGCAGCAAAATGACGCAACTATAGAACATCATGCCACGTGAAGTAAGTCGGACCCACAAAGGCCAACACCACATGCTCTCCTTTATACACGGAAATTAAAGCTTTAAAAATAACCAGAAAAGGAAAAAAAAAACTGTGTTGCAAATATAGTTTTGTTAAACGTTGCTTTACACCCCTGTCAAACCAACGGTGACACCTGTCCTGCTCTGTGGTTACTTTGTAACATGGAGGAGAAATGGTCATTTTCCCATTCAATTACTGCTTCATGGCCACTGGTTCCACTGCCATAAATTAGCATCTTTTTGCTTTTAGCTTACAAAACATCTGATTCAGTAAAGCATTAAATATTCTCACTGTAGCATAAATTTTAAATCTATTATCTAAAAAACGTAAGATACAGAAAGGGAAAAAGAAAGAAGATGAAAAGGAGAGGGACCTGGGGGAGCGGAGGGGCTGTTACTATGATCTCAGAATTGTTTGTTTAAACGGATTCTTAAGAATCTATTTAACACATTTAAAGAAGAAAAACAATCAGCCACTGGCCAAGACAGGCAGTGCTGTGCCCCGTCACTGCCGGCTGTGCCCCGCGCCTCCCTGGCCGTGCCCTCTCCGGCCGTGCCCTCTCCGGCTGTGCCCTCCCCGGCCGTGCCCTCCCCGGCTGTGCCCTCTCCGGCCGTGCCCTCCCCGCCCGCTCTCCTCACCATGTCCATGATCAGGTGGCCGCACAGGAAGCACCTGTCGGCAGACTGCTGGAAACCCGAGTACTGCGGAGGGAAGAGCGAGACAGTTAGACCACGGCAGGTCCTCCCAAAGACACCTCTCCCCGGCGGGGCCTGGCCATCCCTGGGAGCCAGCCAGTCGCGTGCTGGGCTGTGGACTGTCCTCGCCACCCTACGGGGTCGGCATGGTGGCGGTACACGCTAATCCTCTGCCTGTAGTTCCAATATCCCCTGTGGGTGCTGGTTCAATCCCAGCTGCTCCACTCCTGATCCAGCTCCCTGCTTATGGCTGAAAAAGCAGCAGGGGACGGCCCCAACGGTCAGAGCTAAACCAATCCAAAGCCAGAAGCCAAGAGCCTCTTTCAGGTCTCCCATGGGGGTGCAGGGTCCCAAGACCTTGGGCTGTCCCCGACTTCTTTTGCAGGGAGCTGGATGGGAAGCGGGGCCGCTGGGATTAGAACCAGTGCCCATGTGGGATCCCAGCACATGCAAGATAATGACTTTAGCCACTAGGCTACTGTGCTGGGCCCTAAATAAATAAATAAATATTTTTTTTTAAAAAATAGATGCAAATTCTTGGGCCCACCAAACCTACTGAATTGGAAGTTCAAGGGTAGAATCTGCCTTCTGTGTTTTCAGATCTGATCCCATGCTCACTCTCAAAGCCATCCCATAAGGCACTTATGAGAATCCCAAAGCAGTGTTGAGGCGCTAAGTGACCCTGTCGAGCTAACATGGCCAACGAGGCAGAATGACAGACTCGGTTCAAGTTTGGCTCTGCTTAAAAGGCTCATGCAGGGCCCAGCTCGACAAATCCTCGCCTTGCCTGCACGGGTACCTGTTCACATCCCGGCTGCTCCACTTCCCAACCAGCTCCCTGCTTGTGGCCTGCGAAAGCAGTTGAGGATGACCCAAAGCCTTGGGACCCTGTACCCGCATGGGAGACCCAGAGGAGGCTCCTGGCTCCTGGCTTTGGATCGGCGCAGCTCCAGCTGTTGCAGACACTTGGGGAGTGAAACAGTGGATGGAGGATCTTTCTAACTCTCCTGCTCTCAGTAGAGCTGACTTTCCAATAAAAACAAATACATCTTTAAACAAAAACTCTTTACAAACAAGGGCTTAATGTATGGGCAGAGCTGTGGCGTAGCAAATTAGCCCCCCTCCTACTGCCAACATCCCACAGGGGACCCAGTTCAAGTCCCAGCTATTCCATGTCCAACCCAACTCTTGGCTATTAAGCCTGGGAAAGCAGAGCAAGATGGACCCCAAGGGTTTGAGTCGCTGCTCCCCAGGTGGAGACCGGCCGGAGCTCCAGGCATCTGGCTTCGAGAGAGCCCAGCTCCAGCTGCTGTCACCATTTAGGGTTATGACGTTCTTTAGGGCTGGCTGCAAGGCAGGACACTGGCTCAGAGCTGGCCAATCAGAGCCTCACACTCCTCCAGCACCCATGATCTTACCCACAAGCCAGCGTAAGACTCAATGGGAGCCAATGAGACTAAAGGACTGGGGGTGTGCGTGTGTGTGTGTGTGTGTGTGTGTGTGTGAGTTCCTTCTGTGCTTTGTTTGAAACAAAGTGACAGAGCATGAGAGAGATCTTCCATCCGCTAGCTCACTCCGCCCCATCAGCACTACCTGGAACAGGGCTAGGACAAGGCCGGAAGCCGAGAGCTCCACCCAGGTCTCCCACGTGGGCAGCAGGTTCTTGGGCACTTGAGCCACAATCTGCTGCCTGCTGGATCAGCAAGAAAAGGTTGGAAGCAGAGGCACAATTCAATTCCAGGTATGCCAACATGGCCGGCAGGTGTGTCAAACGGCATCCTAACCCACGGCACTGCAACTCCTGCCCCGAAGAGGCTCGGAAAACGACTAGAGCCTGCAGAGCGTGGCTGCCTCCGGCCATCACTCGGTACCTCAGGAGGTGCCTACAGGAGGCCGGGCCCCAAGCCAGGGAGCAGCAGTCCTAGGGCACCGTTGCCACGCAGGTCCCTGTTCCTGGCCAACCAGAGTCGCCACGAACTAACTCTTGCCACGGGGACACAGGCAAGCACTTTCCTCCGAGGGGAGAAGAGGAGCTGGAGCTGGTCTGGGCTCACGGGGGAGAAAGACTCGGACCCAGGTCGCACACCCGGTCCTCACTGCACAGCCAGGCGTGCAGGTGGCACGGCGGCGGGGGTGGGGCACCACACCATGGGGCAGGGGGTCAGAGAGGCACAGGTGTGAGCTAGGTAGAGCGGGAAAAAAAACACCCAAGCCAGCACATGGCGGTACAAGGCTGTGCCAGCCACTGGGGAGGCGTGAAGGCCTGGTGCTCAGGGAGCTGCCAAGGTGGCTTGGCACCTTGGCACCCTGTGGACGCTGGCACCAAGCCGATCAAAGCTATGTTTATGAGGTCTCCTCGGGCAGGTAATGTGGGGGGAGGGGGCCAAGCAGAGGAAGCAGGTGAGGACTGGATGCCAGCTCTGTGCTGGGTACCACGGGAGGGAGCAGGTGTCAATACTGGCAAGCTAATGTGGTCTACTTCGGACACCCCACGTACAAGGGGCCCGGTGACGGCCAGGGGGTGAGGCGGCCTCTGTGAGCAGCGAGAGGCCAGCAGCGTGGCTGGGGCTCAGCTTGGGGCAGGCATGGCTGGCACAGCGTGGATGATGGAAAGACTGAACCCCTGAGGACAGCAGGTTTGGGCCACCACAGGGGACGACACACTCACCAGGAAGTCTTCCTCGCAGAACACTTTGCCGTTGACAAAATAGAAAGCTTTTCCTCGCAGCTTCCGGCCTGGGGGAGAAGCACAAAGGTGGGCTATGGAGAGGACTGTGAACCCAAAGAGCAGGATCAGCACGCGGTGCCGGCACACGGACACAGCAGGTGCAGGGGCCGGGGCGCGAAGCCCCCACCTGCAGTACCATGCCCACTCCAGTCCCAGCTGCTCCACTTCCCACTCAGCTCCCTGCTAACGGCCTGGAAGGCAGCTGAGGAAGGCTCTGTGAGAGACCCAGAAAAACTTCTGACCCCTGGCTTCAGCCCTGCCTAGCTCTGGTGTTGAAGCTATTGATTGATTGATTGATTGATTGATTGATTGATTGATTGGTTGGAAAGGCAGATATACAGAGAGGAAGATCTTCCATCCGATGATTCACTTCCCAAGCAGCCACATCGGCCAGAGCTGAGCCAATCTGAAGCCAGAAGCCAGGAGCTTCTTCCAGGTCTCCCAGGCAGGTGCAGGGTCCCAAGGCTTTGGGCCGTCCTCAACTGCTTTCCCAGGTCACAGGCAGGGAGCTGGAAGGGAAACAGGGCTGCTGGGATTAGAACCGGCACCTATATGGGATCCCGGTGTGTTCAAGGTGAGGACTTTAACCACTATGCTATCGTGCCGGGTCCAGTTGCAGCTATTTAAGAAGTGAACCAGTGGATGGAAGTTCACGCCCCCTCTCTCTCTTTCTCTTTGTGTCACTCAACCTTTTAAGTTAATTCATCTTTAAAAAAGAAAAGAGGAAAAGAAGGCAACATGCCAAGACAGAGGAGGATCTGCCGCTGTCCGTCCTGCAAGGTGATGAGGACACAACCAGTCCCCTGCTAACAGCAGCAGCGGGAGCCGGCCTAGTCCAGCCTCGGGGTGCAGCGCCCTGGACCCCAAGCTCTGGATGTGGAGTGAAGCCAGGCTGCATGTGCAGATGTGGCCAGTAGAGGGCGCGAGAGGCAGCAGCGGCGGCAGGGGTCCCCAGGCAGAGGCTCTCAGGTAAGGTCCAGAGCCCCAAGCCCCGGCTCCCGCCCCAGCCCTGGCCCCAGCCCCGGGTCCCGCCCCAGCCCCAGGCCCCTGCCCTGGCCCAGGCCCCCACCCCGGCTCCCACCCCAGCCCCAGCCCCAGCCCTGGCTCCAGCTCCACCAAGGAGGTGCAGGGAGTTCTCAGGCGTCCCAACCGGAAAGCAGCTTTTTTCTTTGAACAGCAGAGGTGGAGCAGGTCACCTCTAAGCCAAACACCGCAGAGGGGAGGCCTTAAACACGCCAGCACACTGACCCTTCCGGTACTATGTCACCTGTGAGCTCGTCATGGCTGTGGAGCACACCCGTCCACGCACAGTGTGGAAGGATAAACGCTCCCTGGAGCGGACACTTGCCCCGTCAACCTCGAACGCATTGGGCCCTCTAGGAATCAGCGTTGGGAAGGAATTACAAGATGTGGGTAAATACACACTCGGGTTCCACTTGGCATCCTGGGAAGAGCAATGCAAACGCCTGTGCCAGCTGCTGGGATGCCACGCAACCATTCAGACGGCACTCCCGTGAGACTGGAAGATACTGCACTACCCAGATACCAGGGTATATGAATGGAAAAAAGCAAGCTGGACAACTGCAAAAAAGCATTTCAGTAACTTCTCCCCCGCCAACATGTACACACACGCAGGCGAGCGCACACACACATAAAATGGTCACGTGAAAGGGTAAAAGTGGGGGTCTGATGCAGTAGCCTATTGGCTGAAGTCCTCACCTTGCATACACTTCAGGATCCCATATGGGCACCAGTTCGTATCCCAGCTGCTCCACTTCCCTTCCAGCTCCCTGCTTGTGGCCTGGGAAAGCAGTCAAGGACGGCCCAAAGCCTTGGGACCCTGCACCCGTGTGGGAGACCCAGAAGAAGCTCCTGGCTCCTGGTTTATGATTGGCTCAGCTCTGGCCGTTGCGGCCACTTAGGGAGTGAACCAGTGGACATAAGATCTTTCTGTCTCTCCTTCTCTCTGTAAATCTGCCTTTCTAATAAAAAAAAAATAAGTCCTTTAAAACGGAGGTAAAAGTGAATAGTGGCTAGCACTTGCAGAACAAGATGATTTGAGTTATAAAAAGCAACTTCTGTCTATTTAAAAGGAAGAGATCCCATCCCCTGAGTTGCTTCCCCAACGCCCCCAACGGCCAGCACTGGGCCAGGACCTGGACCTCCATCTAGGCCTTCCCCCATGAGTGGTGGGGACCCCAATCGCTGAGCCAGCACCTGCTGCCTCCCACAGGGTCTACACTGCAAGAAGCTCGGATCAGGAGCGACGTCCACACCCCAACACAGACCCTCCGAAAGCACGTGAGCATCTCAAAGGGAGCTGTCACCTCATCTTCTTACTCTGTAGATTTTCAAATTATGTTTTCCTAGAATTAAATTATGTCATAAAAATATTGTTTTAAGATTTGGTTAATTTTTTAAAAGATTTATTTTTGATTTTTATTGGAAAGTCAGATATACAGAGAGGAGGAGAGACAGAGAGGAAGATCTTCCCTCTGATGATTCACTCCCCAAGTGACCACAACAGCTGGTGCTGTGCCAATCCGAAGCCAGGAGCCAAGAACATCCTCTATGTTTCCCACATGGGTGCAGGGTCCCACGGCTTTGGGCCATCCTCAACTATTTTCCCAGGCCACAAGCAGGGAGCTGGATGGGAAGTGGAGCAGCTGGGATATGAACTGGTGTCCATATGGGATCCTGTGCATGCAAGGTGAGGATTTAGCCACTGAGCCATCATGCCAGTCCCATAAAAAATCATTTCTAATTTTTAGCAGGAAATGTATGTTATATGAAAAGTAGAAGAAGATGGTTTAAATATTATTTATCTTGGGAAAGGCAGTCTGGCACAGCAGGTTAAGTTGCTGCCGAGACACGGAGACACGGAGGCTCAGCAAGGCCCACTCGGGTGTGTCTGACCAGCGTGAGACCACAGAACGCAATGCCATTCAGTTCCCTGGAGAATGTGCAACCCCTAGAGGACGAATCTGGCTTCTCACAGCCCAGCAGGGAGCAGGGAGCGAGATTTTAGCCCTTGCCATGCCCTGAACATCTTATTCACATTCTGTCTTGCTAGCGTGCAAAGGGACCAGCACCTATGAACCAGCTCAGAGGCGTGAAAGAGAGGACATGGGAGGAAGGAAGAGGCTCAGCAGGAAAGAGCCAGCACCTGGTATTGAAAAGCAGGGAGGCAGAAACGAAGGTGTTCCCCGGATCGACCCCTCCAGACCCCACCAGCTAAGCAGACACCAACCAGCACGCAAGCTCCAGGCATTCACCTCGTCATCCCAGGGCGCATGCAGTCGTCTTCACCGCCACCGGGTGGCGCCAGACCACAGCAGGACTGGGCGGCAGGCGGGCTGCGGCCATTTCGCCACCTCGCCCAGAAGGTGGCGCTGCACTTCCAGGTAGTGAACCCTCACCTCGCCTAGGTAAGGTTTCTAAGTATGTTAATTAGATGAGAAGAACACTAAAATTCAGTTGTAGCGCGGCAAGCACCTGCTGGCCACTTGTGAGGACAACATGAGGCACCACTGCACGAAGTTCTGCCTTCCAACAGCACTGGCAGCACTGGTAAAAGGCACCGCTGATGGCAAAGGCATAGCGGGGAAACCTGTCAAACTGGCGGGGCTCAGAGGACAGACTGCAGCTCAGAGCCGCAGGAAGGGGCAGGACGGAGGGCGGGCAGTCAGGCTTGCTGTCCCAGAAAGACCTCGGCACTTCCTCCACCTGACCCCTTCAGGGGCCTTAGCAAAGCTGAGGACAACACTGGGGGATCCAGGACTGTGTGGCCCGGCAGAATGCTAATCACTTAGGGGTACTGAGTACTCAGCACAGTACTGAGCACTTAGGAGAGTGCTGAACACTTGCAGTGCTAAGCAGTTCATACACGGGAGGAAAGTACCCCAGATTGGGGCTACACCTTAGAGGTGCCAATGAAGACAGCGCCTGCCATTCACTAGGGCTGGCCACTGCTCCTCCTCCCAGCAGCCCCAGCACTTAGCTGCTGCACCTAGCTCTGCTCAGACCACAAAGGCCGCCCAGCAGAGGAAGAGTAACAAAGTGTCCAGGCCAGAAGACTTAGCGTGCCCGGCAACCAACGGGAGATGTGCTGCTAGGAGGCCCGTGGGGAGGACGGCAGCCCTGCCCTGCCCCAGGGGGACAGCTCCTGCATCCCAAGGGCCCAGGATGCTAAAGCCGACATCAAGGTGGCAAAGGAAAGCGGCTGGAATGGCAAGCACAGCCTGGGGATATGGCAGCTCACCCAGGAGAGCGGAGTCCAGAATCCACCGTCAGCCGCACACCCAAGACCACACCTTGTGTGTGTACATTTCTGTGAAACACCAAGAGGCTAGAAAGCGGCTCAGCAGGGACTCGGGCTGGTGGGAGGGGGAAGCGGGTGCTGACGGCTAATGAACACCCCCTCACAGGCAGGAGCCCACCCGAACTATTCCCACAGCTCTCGAGAGTTCGACAGGTGTCCAGAAACTGCACCGAAGGCGCGAAAGGCCAGCGGAGGGTAAACCAGTGAGATGTGGTCCCCACCTTCCTGACAGCCCGGGAAGAGATGCAGATCTCGGCAAAGTTTCAATCGTGTCCTTTCTTAAATCCCCAAAGACAGGCAGGGACCCAAGTGTCACAGCACCACGGTGAAGCCACCCCCCAGGACAGCTGCGTCCCACAGCACAGATGCGAAGACACCAGGGAGGGACGCTGGTGGTGACAAAAGGTGCAGGGAACGGAGCTGAGAAAGACAGGAGGGGCAAGGTGCCATGGCACAGTGAATCAAGCCACCACTGTGACACAGACATCCTACGTGAGTTCAAATCCCAGCTGCTCCACTTGCGGTCCAGCTCCCCTCTCAGCACCCATGATGGCAGCAGCTGCTGGCCCAAGTACTCGGACCCCTGCTGCCTGTACAGAGGGGACACATGACACATGACACATGAACCTGTGTCAGCCTAGCCTGGATTTGGCTGTTGCAGTCATTTGCAGAGTAATCCCGCAGATGGCAGAATGCCACCCTTGGTAACCACGGCAGGGGCTGCTGCTGCTGGCACGCAGAGGCCCAGCTGCTCCTCTGGCCTCATGACTCACCTTGCGTGGGATTCACCAGATGCACTGGGCACCACCAGGGGTCGCTGTGGCCTGGAATTACTTAGGGGGGAAAAGCTGAAGGAGCTTTCCAACCAAGACCACAAGGGCAAAATCAGGGGGACCAAACGTACACAGGGGGCCAAGGATGCAGATGCGGGGGTTCCTCTCCGCCAGGCTGCTTGAATCGCCCCCCACTCCGCTCTAAACCCACGATGGGCATGGGGAAGCTGGTGCATGTGGCTGTCGGGTCCCCATCCCAGCCACCACCGACCACAGCTCCCACTCCCTGAGACGATGGCCACGGAGAGCCGCCACCCTGCTCTCGTCCAGGCCGCAGCTCCCAGCCCGGCTCCGGCCCTGACTTCCCTTCCTACCGCCTTCCCCACACTCCGCCCGACTCACCCAGCTCACACACAGACATCGGGAAACACGGGGGCCACTGCACAGCTCGGACCCCACCCACCCAGTGGCCTGGTGCAGTGACTCCCGCTACTGTATCTGCCTCCCCTGTTGCAAGCCCCAGGCCACTCTGCCGTCCTGACAAGCCCGGGAGAGGAGCGAGAGGAGAGCGACAGAGGGGCCCAGTCTTGGCTGACACGCGGCCCCAAGGCACGGCGAAAGCCAGGAAGTCAGAGCAAGCTCCCACGCTGACAGCCCTTGTCCTCCCCCTGCCTGGATCCTCAGGGATTAGACTATGGTGAGACATGCAAGTGATGTGAGCTTAAGAAGCAGGAAGTTAGCTTAGGCCTGCGGAGCCGCAAGTCACAGACCCCCAGGTCATCCATAGCCCCCTTTTCCCAGGATGCATCTGCTTCATGAAGAAGACCAACTGCAGCTGGCGCTGCGGCACAGCAGGTAAGCCGTGCTGTCTGCGACACCCCTGGCATCCCACGTGGGAACCAGTTTGAGCCCTGGCTGCTGCGTTTCCAATCCAGCTCCCTGCTCACGCATCTGGCACAAGCAGCGGAGGATGGACGGGCCAGGTCTTGGGCTCCTACAGCATGTGGGAAACCTGGAGGAAGTACCCAGATTCATACTGGCCATTGCAGCCATCTGGGGAGTGAACCCTCTCTGTGCAACTCCTTCCACAAAAACCCAACAACAAGGGGGCCGGGGCGCCTCCCCTCCACAGCTTGAAGGGCTGCCACGCGCTGTGCACGCTCCCACGTCCATCCTACTATTCCACCCAGAAACGTCTTCTACCCCACTCCCCACCCCTGGCAGGCATTTTGGTGTGGCGGGGCAACCCACATCCCTGTGTGTTTGTACGTGTAATGTTCCCTTTCTCAGCTTTATTTAACAATTCCTCTTTTTAAAGATTTACTTGTTTTTATTGGAACGTCGGGTGTACAGAGAGAAGGAGAGACAGAGAAAGATGTTCCATCTGCTGGTTCACTCCCCAAGTGCCCACAATGGCCAGACCTAAGCCAATCTGAAGCCAGGAGCCAGGAGCTTCTTCTGGCTCTCCCATGTGGGTACAGGGTCACAAGGCTTCGCACCAGCTTCTACTGCTTTCCCAGGCCACAAACAAGAGGAACTGGATGGAAAGTGGGCCAACTGGGATGCAAACCCAGGCTCATATGGGATTCTAGCACATGCAAGGTGAGGAGTTCAGCCACTAAGCTACTGCGCCAGGCCCTTTTAAACAATTCTTATCACTCTATACACCTTCCTGGAGTCAGCACTTGGACAAGAGCCTGAGGTTAGAAAATAACAGCCCCTCAGCCACATCACAAGCACATGACTCCACAGTAACGTGACCAGCAATGAGCAGAGCGAACGCTCCCAGCTGGCAGCCGCCCAGTCCGCAGGACACCGATTTCCTCAGGGCTGCGTGGGAGGCCACGCGGGGTCACAGTCCCGAGCACACGTCCCTGGGGGAGCATGTGAAATCCCGGCACAGACGCGACACACAAGCTGGTGAGGTTTCTTTAAAGGTGAGGAATCACACGTGGGCGGACACATGCGTGGACGCAGTGGGCCAGGAAGGGGCAGGACGGGGGAGGAAAGAGGCTCCTCCCAGGAGGGCGGAGAGGGGCGTGGTTACGTTACACCTCCCCCAGGTAGGCAGGATTGCAAAGGGCAGGGGAGGTGTGGCTTCCGGCTGCTGGACCCCATCCCGCCACCTGGCTCAGCCTGCATCCCGTGCATCTCCGGAATGCGCGGACCCAGGCTGCTTACAGGATCCCAGAGGCAATGTCTAGGAAAACGGAAGAGCTGGCAGGGCCCTTGGCCGCCTCACAATGGAACCGCCTCGTGAGTGAGTGGGCCACCAAGCACTTACGGAGTGGTGGAGAACTGTGGTGGCAAAGCAGGTTCAGTTCTAACTGTTGCATTTACCTGGAAGGCCCCCACTGTGTCCTATCAGTAACATGGATGTCTGGGTCTGACCCCTCCTCCCTCTTCATCCCCCCCACCCACTGGGGACAAGCATCAGCTCACCACACTAGCTGGCTTCCCATCAACCCAGGGGCAGCTGTCGCCTGAGCCCCCAGCTCTAAGGCCTGGGCGCCCACCTGTGCCTCCAGCTCCCGGGGGTGGATGGAGTGTGCTGGCCCCACCAGCCCAGGTTCTCTGCTCACATGGCTGCAGGGGACAGAGGCCAAGGACCTGGACAATGCTGACAGAGGCCACCTGGCCTTGCCTACTCCCTGCCTTATGGTCTGTTCTGGAAGGTGCCACGGAGGAAACTCCGGGGGACCTCACAAGTCTTTTTCCGCCTCCTCGTCCCATCTCTCTTGAGCCTCAGCAGGAGCCGGCTCCTCCTCAGACAAGCCATTTGACACACAAGGGTGTGATGGCCACTTGCCAGGGGCACTCCTGCCACCTCCGGGCACCTCCCCTACCCTCCGGGGTGTGCCAACGGCTTCCTGGTGGTGTCCGATGGGGCACGACCACTTCAGATGGGTGGAGCTTGCAGGGAGTGGAGAAGGGAGCATCCTGCACCCATGCCCACAGCCACCCAACACAGGGTCCGAGGAGCACAAGAACGCAGGGACCTCGATAAACCTCACAGACGCCCACACGCTGCCTCCCCTGTGCGGGTGCCAAGGGCGTGACTCAGCAAAGCGAGCAGAAGACGCAGCACAGAGCCCTGCAGCCCGTCCCAGCTCCACTTCCAACTCTAGCTTCCTGTTCAGGTGCACCGTGGGAGGCAGCAGGAGCGTTGGTTCACATGACCGGGCACCTGCCAGCCGCATGTGAGACCTGGGGTGAGTTCCTGACCACCGGCTTCATCCAGCCCCAGCCTCTTGACCATATGGAGGGTGGTGAACAGTGAATAGAAAAACCTCTCTCTTTGCCTTTCAAATACATCTCCACACATAAAATATGACCACTCATTTGGGGAGTGAACCAACAGATGGAAGAACTGTCTCTCCTCTCTGTAAATTTGCTTTTTCAATAAAACAAGTAAATCTTAAAAGACAGAGAGAAGAAGAAAACGAGCAGACAGCTCAGGTTCATGTGTCAATTGCGTTTAAATGAAATCTTGAAAGTTTTGAAACAAAAAATAAAGAAATGCCAAACTCCATCCAAGTTGACATTAGTGGGAGGCGGGCCACTTGGGAAGTCAGGTATGAGGGTGGCCTTCATGGTCAGGGCTAGTGGCCTTACAGGAGCCAGCATGTGGCACAGTGAGCTGAGCCACCTTTGTCACTTACATCTCCTACGGGCACTGGTTCAAGTCCCGGCTGCTCTACTTCTTATCCAGCTCCCTGCCAATGTGCCTGGTAGGCTTCAGGTTCAGGCTCAACACATGGGAGACCAGGGTGGAGATCCAGGGTCAGCCCGGCGCAGCCTCATCTGTGCGGCCAGCGGGAGAGTGAAGATCTCTGCCTTTCTCACTCTGTCTCTCCTTCTCTCTGTATACGTCTTTCAAGTGGAAGGGAGAGGGAGGAAGCAAGGGGCTCGCTTCTGCAGGCTGGGGCTGTTTTTAAAGTCTGCCTCCACGCATCTAAGGAGTAGTCAGGCCCAGGAACCGCCGTGTCAGACGGTGACGAAGACCCTCCCGGGTTTGTCACATCATCCTGGAGAACATCAAGTGAGACCCTTTCCAGAAATGAACCTGCACAATCCACTCCCCTGAGGGGCCGCAGCCCTCAACCCCATCCGTGGCGGGGTGTGAGGTCGTTCACAGAGGCGTGTCAGCAGTGCAGCCGTGCAAGCATGTATGCGCACACTCCAACTGCAGCCTCCAGAACAAAGACTGGCCCTGGCAGAGCTCACTGGTGAATGGCCTCTAGGGTGCTCCCTGCAGCAGTGCCGCTCATGGACCCTGGGGTGAACCTCAGGGCAGAGCCCAGGGAATCCCAGCCTTTCCCATCTCCCTTCTCCTAAGACCCAGGGTGCTGCCAGCAATGGCCTTGAACCCTGCTCAAGTCTCCACTGGGGTCGTGGCAATCCTCGGTACTTGGTGACAGAATACCTCATCCTGACAGGCCTTGTCGCAGAGATGCGACACCCCCACCCTCACAGCTCCCTGTGCGTCTGCCCCCTCCCACACACACCCACACCTGTTCCCGTACTTACTGCAGGCCGCACAGGTGAAGCACGCGTCATGATAGAGGTTCCCCATGGCCTGGCAGGCCTGTCCAGCCCCAAACACCCCTTTGCTGCACTTCACACATGCTCCTGCAAGGCAACAACACACCGTGAATCAGGGGTGCTGTGTATCACCTGAGGCGCCCAGGGGTTCCCACCCCACAACGTCCCTGTCACCAAGTCCCGCAGGTGGCACCTGTGTGTCTCCTTTCTCTGGCTCTCCCCCCGACCCTCCCTCCTCCCGCAGCCTCTCCAGGATCTGCCAATGACAGAAACAGCTGCCAGTCGGACCACCTGTCCCCACCCTGCCCAGCCAATGCCCACATCTGGCCTTAGTCAAACTACTCCCTCTGCCCTGAGAATTTGTAAGACAAAGTCCAAGACATGGCATTCTGATCAGGACACGCCAAGCAACCAGGTCCAACTGTTTCAGCTAAATGATCTCCCCTCGTTCTCAGTGGAGACCACCACTGGGATTCAGCAGCCGCACTCTGCAAAAAAAAATATCAGGTCCCAAGGCCCAGGCTTGCCTGGCTTCCCACCTAGGCCCTTTGCCCCCAATAAACCCAAGGAGCCTCACCTCCCAGCCCCAAACCCAGGACACCCCACTTGTGTCTCTGGAACCAAGGCCTTCTCTGCAGGACCTTCCACAAGCCCTCTCACTTTTTGGCTCTCTAGGGCAGAAATGCAGACAGCAGGCCTCCAACCTTGGGCTTCCCACCCAATATAAGCTATCCTGTGTTCCCAGCTTCTGCCAGCTTCTGTCGGCATCAAACTGAATTAGGAAGTGGAGATCGGCTCCACCTGCTTTGCCTGCATCCACCAGAAAGTTCTAAAGAATGCACCTGCCTCATCCATGCCATGCCTACACAACCAGGACAGATGATACCAACTCTCTGTGCCGGGCTCTGTGAAATGGGGATGCCAGGATGGGCCTGCACGTGTTTGGCATCATCATACGGTACAAACGGCATCAGGCCCTCTGAGAGCCTTCCCTCCCACCATCACGGCTGAATCACCTCACAGCCGCTGCCCAGCACACATCTGTTGCCCCCTTCTTGCTGTAGGAGACAGAAATGAACGAGACACAGAAAGATCATCCATCTGCTGGTTCACTCTCCGACAGCCATGCTGGGCCAACAGCTAGGGGTTCAGGCAGTGCAGACCAAGGACAGCACGGACAAAACTGCCACAAGGACCAGCCTCAAGACAGTTCCTAGAGAGTGGAGGCAAGCAGGTGTGATGTTGCTGGTCTGCGTTGAGCGTGCACTCGCGGCATAAAACCGGACAGCCTCTCCCAGCTCTGCTGCTAAAGCCACGACAGGGCAGACAGCACCTGGACACCAATCACGGCCCCGGCCACCCTGTACTTCCTGCCCCGTTATCTCTCCAAGCAGGCCTTCCTCCTAGTCGCTGGCCCCTGCCCGGCATCCCTCTTTGCTGGCTTCCTCCCTGTGGGGGGCCTGTGGCCCGCTGCCTTCAGCCCCCGCCCCATCATGCCCCCCGTCCTCCAGAGCCTGAGTCGCTTCTCAGCACTCCGATCCTGAGTGCAGACACAAAGCAAGGAAGGAAACTGCTTGAACTGCGGACCGCGGGAGTAAGGAAGACCCCATCAGGAGCCACGTCGGCCGCAGCACGGCACATCCTTGTGACTCGGGCAGCATGGACAGAAAAGAGCTCTGGGGCTGACGTGGGCTGTGGCCATCTCCATTGTAAAACCAGGCTCTGGTTCCAGCAAAGTTAGGAAGTTACTGATGGCCTCACAGCTGAGACGTGGGCTGGGAGCCCAGGCTCTGACTCAAAGCTTCTGCTCCCCACACCTGGCTGGCAGCTGTGGATGCCCCTGCCACACCCAAGGTCCCCCATTCCAACCCGGGGCTCCCCGTCAACTCCAACTGCCCACCCCAACCCTCCTCCCGTTCGGCTTCGCCTCCGCTTTTTTCCTCCACAAAGCCCTGCCTTCCTGACTGGGAGCTCAAACCACACAAACAGGCAACCCTCGGTTCCCCTGTCCTTCTGCCAGGCCACTACGGCTGACTGGCCTGGGATGGGTTAGCGGACAGTTCGTTCCCATACCAAGCCCTCCTCTGTCCCTCAAAGAGACCCAGGCTCTTTCCAAGCAAGAGGAGTGGGATGGCAAGTGAGGGAGACTGTCCTGCACCTGCAGGTGACCTGTCCCATCTGCCTCCAGTGCATCAGGCTCCACCCGCAGAAGCTCAGGTCGGGAGCACCCTCTTGCCACAAGGTTAAAAAGCCTGCCCCAGCAGAGGAAAGCAGGAAGGCACCACCACACGGGATGATGCCAACGCCAAGCCCAGGAGGAGAGAGTGGGAATCAGGATACACCCGAAGGTGAAGAGCGATCTTCCTCCACGCAGCTTGCTCTTGAACCCATCCCCTAACCTGCACGCCAGTGATGGTTCCAAAAACCACGAAGGGGGTATAACTGACATGCACAGATTCGGCAGGTGCAATCAGCCGTGTCCTGGCGTGGGTACGTACACCTGTGGGATCGCCGCCATAAGCTGGAGACTAAACCCATCACCCCAAAGGCTCAGCACCCTGGGGCCGCCTGCCCTCCCTCCCTCCCCCGGGGCGAGCACCACCCATCTGCTTTCTGTCACCAAGGATTAGTGCGTGTTTTCTAGCGTTTATACAAATGGAATCTCAAGCATGAACTCTTGTTCATCTGGTTTCTTTCACTCAGTATAATTATTTTGAGACTGCTCCGTGTCCTCACATGGGTCGAGGGTTTGTTGTTTTTTACTGCCGCGGGGCACCCCACTGCTTACCGGTGCACCTGCCAACGCGTGAGCTGTTTCCAGTTTCTGGATATTACAACTACAGCGAGTGTCAGCATTTGCATACAACGTGTAGACATTCTTCTTTTGAGTAAAGACCAATGAGTTGGCATGACAGTGCCTTATGATTAATTTTTCCATTTAATTCAACCCTCTTTTTAAAAAATCATTCATTTTTATTGGAAAAGCAGATTTACAGAAAGAAGGGCAGATAGATTCACTCCCCGATCAAGCAGAGCCGAGCCGATCCCAAAGCCAGGAGCCAGGTGTAGACGGGTCTCCGACATGGGTGCAGGGTCCCAAGAGGGGCATCCTGCACTGTTTTTCCCAGGCCATAAGCAGAGAACTGCTTATATGGAGCAACCAGGACATGAACCAGTGCCCATTTGGAATGCCAGCATTTGCAGGCAGAGGATTAACCAAGAGCTATCATGCTGGCCCCAGTTCAACCCTCTTTTTTCTCTCGCTTGCCATCCCCACCCACATCATTATCGGTGCTTGGTCTGGACGATCTTTTGAACGTCACCACTTCTAACAGGAGCACTCTGTAGCGCTGCCTCACTGTGGTTTCCACTTGATTTCTCAACGGCATCTTCCCAGGGCTTCTTTGCCACGTGTATCGTATGAACATTTTCTTCTTATTCATTTTCCTTTAAAGATACATTTATTTACTTGAAAGAGTGAAAGAGAGAGATCTTCCATTGGCTGGTTCACTCCTTCAATGGCCACAACCTCCCAGGTGTTGCTCAAGCCCCACCCGTGGGTGGCAGGGATTCGAATGCAGGAGCCCCTTCGCCGGCTGCCTCCCAGGAAGCCGGGTGGGAGGCAGGGGGCTCTGGAGGCTCCGCGGTTGCCACAGACAGACCCAAGCCCAGGTCTGCTGGGCAGCACAACTTCTGGGCAGACAAAGGCCTCCCTCACACTGGGCGCACCTGCTGGGGAGGGCCACGGGTCTTGGGCCACAATCAGGTGCCTTCTATAGAGTCTTCCCCAAGGCAGAGAAGAAAAAGCAGACAGAGAAACCAAACACAACACTGTGATGTGTTGTGAGACAATGTCACGGGCTTCCCTGAGAGCCTGCCAGCTCACTGGAGGCGGGTCAGCTTTATCGTTCCGTCGCTGTCACTGTCATCGTCACTACTGTTTCACTTCCATAGCAGCGGAGACCGTGAACTCTCGGTCAGGCCGACCTAACTCTTCGTGCGCAGAGGTGGTTTTCAAAGGCTTGAGATGGGCAGACACATGTCTAAAAATAAGTCGTCAGTGGGACCTCAAATATATGTAACAGAAGGCAGGGAAACCACTATGGTTTAGGGTGGGACGGAGCCCACTCTGCTTCCTGGAATGTTCTGGCCCACTACAGCGGTTCCAGGAAAATGACTGGGAACCCCAGTGACACAGTGCCGCGGCCGATCAAGCACTGTGGTGCTTCATGACCCAAGTCCTTGAGTCCCTGCAGCCAGGAGGGAAACATGGATGAAGTTCCAGGCTCCTGGCTGCAGCCCGCCTCAGTCCCAGCTGTGGAGGTTATTTAGGGAGTGAAACAGCTCCTGCAAGATCCTTTTCTCTTTATTCTCTGTCTCCTTTTCTGTATCAGCCTGTGTCCTCTGGGTGAAGCTGTCCTCAGGCCACAAAGGAAGTACTTCAGGCCCTTCAGAGTGCTGGGGCCATTGCGCCAGCCGACTTCCTTCAACACTGCCACTAACAGGCACCGTTTCAAAGGCAGCTACGGCCACATTCATGCCAGTGGGAGAGGAAGTCCCTAGAACAATTTCCCAATCTCTGTAAACTTGAGTTTCCCCTGCCAGGTACATTTTCTTAAGACCTGAAGGACAGATGGGCAGAGCAAGAGAGACAGAATTCTTCCATCTGCTGGTCCATTTCCCAAATGTCCACAGAAGCCAGGCCTGGTCAGGCCAAAGCCAGGAGCCCAGAACTCAATCCAGCTCCTCCATACAGGTGGACCCAATGGTTTGAGCCATCACCGGCTGCCTCCCAGGGTGGACAGCAGCAAGAAGCTGGAACTGGAAGCGAGATGGAACTCAAACCCAGGTACTCGAACACAGATGGGCAGGATCCAAGTGACATCCTAACCACTGGGCCAAACACACACCACCCCCATCTCCACTCCCCCAAAAGGAAGAAGGATGTGAGGCATCCACAAGCAAGCCCTGCACCCCACTCCAAGTCCCACCCTCTGCTATCCTGCAGCCAGCTTCCAGGGGCGCCCTCCGTGCCGCAGGTCCTAGGCATGCCATCTCTCTGGGCGCCCTCCACACTCCCCTCCTCT